ACTGGCGGAAGACATCTCTGTCTGCATGTCATTAATACCCCGGACGTAGACCACGAACAATGTTGCTATTTTTGTGTTGTATGTATTGGTTTTGCAATTAGACGAGTCTATTGAAGTCGTTTCTCAAGTTGGTTTGTCAAATGCTACCCAAACGGCGGGATACATCGAGCACGTTCTCATCATGATAAAATCGTCTGCCACGGTGGAGACTGGAGGACACCGCTAACAAAACATGTGATCATGGTTCCTTGGTGCTTTTTCGACGGCGAGAAATCTTTATCAGATTTTGTTGAATTTTATTTTTTGTTGCATACGTTGTATGCAAAAACGAACAGCTGTTGGCCCATATACACCAACATTTTTGTGTTCTGTTTTTGCGGCAGGTACCAGGGTGTGGAAATCGAGGACCTGGAGTTCCAAAGAGTCCTGTTCGGCTTTTTCCCCACCTACAAGCGCAGCCCCCTGCCGGCGGAGTGGGACCGCGTCTGCCAGATCGGGGACGCGAGGTGGGCAAACTCTCCCATGCAAAGGGAATGGCACACCGTGGAATTTCCGTAGAATGGGGCAGGTCAAAATAGCCACACTATCGAATCTCCGTAGATGTCGGCACATCGGGCAGCCATGCCATCGAATATCCGTAGATTATGACACCTCAGATAGCCTCAAAATGGAATCTCCGTAGATTGGGACACCTCAGATATGGCCCTGCGGAGATCCGCAGGGGGTTGTTGGGTTGACCTCGGATCACTCTGGCGCACTCCCGGGCCGTTTGACCGTCTGGTCTCGAAGCATGTGGTTTGAGTGCAACGCGCCTTCGGAGCCCCTGCTCTGACCGCACATTTGCTTTCGCCCCGTCTCTGCTTCGTCCCTCTCGCTCTGTGGAGGGAGGTGCTTGGTGTGGTACGTATGTACCCGTCGAAAAAAAAAAAAGGAACAAGAAGGGCTACCGACCAAAAACTGCAGCAGCCTGGTGCAGTAAATGGTAGTTGACAACGTGTACGTTGACATATATACATGCACGTTTATTATCTCCGAAAACTAGTACTATTACAACTTCAAACGTGATGATGACATGTCGTATCCCCAATACGAAAAAACGAAAATGAATCCTCACAGGTGAGCAAATTATCAGTGACACTGGTTAAACTACTGTTCATAGAATCCGTTTCTTACTTGTTTTGTGAACTCTCTTACGTCTCCCCTTCCCCCAGTGGCATGCAGAGCCCTCTCTCTTTCGGGGGCTTCGCTTGCCTCACAAGGCATGTGAAGCGAATTTCGGAGGCCCTGTCCGAGGTGAGCCTGCATCGTTTGTTGGCTCGCTGTACGGATTTTCGTTTGTTTTTTTTCGTTTCAGTTCTTTTATTTTCCTCTTTTCTGTGCGTTTGCTTTGCCTTGCTTTGCTTTGCCGTACTTTTGACGTTCCTTGCTTTGCTGTGCTCAGTTTATCTTGACCTTGCCTGGGATCTGTTTCGATATTGCTGTGCCCGAACTTTCTGTTTTTCTTCGTCTTTCTCTATTGTAATCAATCCTCTCTAGTTCGCTGCCCTCTGTGCCGGTTCGTTGTTCGTGTGCTCGACGGTTTAGTAGCCATGCACGACTACGCCAATTCCACCATGTGACCACGCTGGCCAATGTCGACCACGAGTGACCCCCTTTCCCCTGCCAGGCGCTAGAGGGGGACCTACTGGACAAGAAGTCGCTCGGCCTGGTGAACGCCTACCAGCCCTCGCTGACCTCGACGTGGATGTTCCAGAAGTCGATGAGCGTCGGGGTCGGAGAGAGGGTGGACGCCAACCTCATCGTGGACCTCCTCGCCAACAACTTCAAGTCCATGGACAAGGTGAGTTTTTCTTCGTGTTTGTGTGCTACTGCTGTACGCTGCACCGCCTCTCCCTGGTCTTCGGGCGAGATGTCGCACAAGGTGCTATTTATGTAGACGCCGCATCGCTCACGTGTGGTGGTGGCGGCGGGTAAGTCGGAACAGTTCAAGAGGGTCTGCAAACAAGATTTGGCGGGTTTTCCTCGGCACTGGTAGGTACACTGCTGCACGAACCCCTGGTATTTTCTACATGTCACGAGGAATTTGTTGCCGTGTTTGTTTCAGAAAATTGTGTTTGGGCGACATTGACGCCATTCCCGCTCGTCTTGCTCTCGAAGGTGCTGCTCCTTTGGTGGATACGGTTGATGTGCAACGTTCTTTTCCCATCAAATTCGCGGTGAAGGAGGATCGTGAGCACCCCAATCGCTTTTTCTTTCGATTGAGAGCCGTTCCCGCAGCTATGAGATGACCCGTCGCGCCATCCACCGACATACCCCCGCCGCACCCTCTCCCGCCGTCATTCCGTGAACAAAATAGCTGGGAAACCCGGTGCTGAAGCCCTTCTTGCAAGACGTGGTGCAGTTCGGGCCTCTGGCGAGAGTGCTGGCCGGCGTTACCCTGGACGCCCCGTTGTCGATCCCGCCGTTGCTCCTGCACGTCGGGATCGTTCCCCTCGCGGACTGGATAGGTGCGGGTTGTAGTAGGTGCTGGCGCTGTGTGTAGTCGTCGCTGTTTTTCCACCTTTTTTTTGGCGACTGCTGTTGCCGGGCTCCTCTTCCGTTTTGGTTGTGGTGTTGGAAGCGGGAGGAGGTGAAAAGTTCATCTTTGTCTGTTTTAGTGACCCTGTGCGAAAAAGTGTTCCATGTACGGTAGGTGCTCCCAAAGCAGAAATTAGCACGCGACAATGCTACGTGCTAACAAGGAGTAACTTGCTGCGGGAGTGACGGCAACGTTCCTGGGCGTGCGCGGCCGAGAGATGTGGGGCACCACCTCCTCACACAAAAGGCGCCACGCGCCACCACTTCCGAATGATGGGATTTGAGGAAGGCTAAACAAGTGGGATACTTTCCGAGCTTGGCCATTCGGAGAGGGTCTCACCCAAGAAAGCCTCCACTAAAACCTACGTAGTCGATGTTGGTTTACACCAAAGAGAATATAGCAACGAGCCTCGGGGCAACATAGAAGCTTGTTAGGTTTTGGCGGGTGTACTGTATTACTGATGACGCTATGATACTCCTCCGAATGGACCACGCGTAGCAGAGCACACAGACCACGCACTACACTACCGCCCTCCAATTGACATCACTGAAGGTTTTACACTGGCGAGCCGATTGGTCCCAACCGATGCCGTGACTGTAATGACTGTAATGGTTGAGAAGAAAACTCAACACACGAGACGCACTCACCCTTCGCTCGCCCCCCGCGGTCGTGTACGGTACGCAGGGCACTTCTTCAGCATGGGTCTTTACTCCGCTCTCCATCGACTGGCCGGGCCCTGGCTGCGAAAACGCCTCCCGAAGATGTCCAAGGAGGACCGCTACCGCTCGTCGAGGCTGCTGGACGCCTGGGAGTACGGCAGTGGTTCCGACTACCGCTACGAGGGGCCGGGCTCGACTTAGATGAGAGAAGGCGGAAGAAGCTTTAACGCAATATTTTAGCGGACACGGAGAGCCAGTAGAGACAGGCGAAGAAGGCTGGGATGTCGCCCTCGTTGTCTGCGGCACCCCCAGCGCCTTTCGTGTGTAGCGATAGCGGCTCCCGCTATTGGTACGAAGAGGCCGGCTGGTATGAGAAGATGGGCAATTGCCCGGGCGAGGGATGCCATGGTGTGGATGGGCCTGATGGCCTGCTTTAAGACGTGTGGCGAAGCTAGAGGCTCGAGCCTGCCGAGGTCTTCTCGTCGATTAGCCTATTAAGAGAGAGAGAGAGAGAGAGAGAGAGAGAGAGAGAGAGAGAGAGAGAGAGAGAGAGCGTGGCAATTTTCAGTACGGGAAGGACCTTTCGGCTATCACGCCTGTGCTGTAGGTGCCGCGATGAGCGTTCACTCTGTTGTACACCTATTATACCAACTGATGCGGTATTTGGTGACGCATCGGTGTTGTCTCCTTTGCTTGGCTCCATAGGAGGCGGAATGGGAGTAGTCCGGCGAAATAAATATCGGATACTTGCTTGAGACGGGGCCAGAATCTCGAGGGTTCTCGCAAAACTTGTAGGTGGAGAGAAAGCATACGTATGTATGCCATCCGCAGTGCGTACAGGGGTTAGCGACGGGTGAAATATTTTCCCCGGCGGTCTTGAAGTAATGAACTATCTCGTACCCGCGGTCGACGCGGTGCTCCGTCCGTGTCCCTTCTTTCGGCCACCGAAACTTGTGACACGTAGGGCGCACCTTCCTCTGTATTTATTACTTGTAGGCTAGAGCGGCAGCAGGGCTCTGCAGGGTGCACAGGATGCTGCAGCAATCCCTGCCGAAGAGCCGTGCCAGCACAGCGTTACATGCGGCAGTGGATATTCAATTTAAGAGGGTGAGAGGAAATGATCTGCTTGAAGTGAGCCCTTAACCACAAGATAAAGCAACTTACCCAAATCGTTCGTTTCGGCCCTTCCGCGGGGGTACCGTGGTGTCGGCGGGACAGCTTTTCTCGGGTACCCGGGCAATGAGAGTTCTTGTTACCAGAAATGTTGACTGCTTTGGAAAATGACCAAGGAATACCCAGCAATGATACGAGATACACGAGACCGGCCGGGCTGTGTTGTGCAATAGAATTGCGTAAGTTTCCGCACGGGGCAGTGGTTGAAGCTTGTCTCCAGCGTATCACGCTCTACCGTTCGGCTGCAGTGACGGGAAAAGGCATATCTTGAGACGGCCACGCCTTCAACGTACACCCGCTGGCGGAATGGCCAGCCACGTATGCGTACATGAACACGTATGCTGCGGTGAGGTGAATACAGGATGGATAAATATGACAGTCTTTTTTTCTGTGTGTTGGTGTGATTGTGGGTGTGGTGGTGGGTGCTGTGGTGGGGGGGTGGGGGGGGTTGTGGATCCCCCTCTATGTGTTTGGGTAAAGAATGAGAGACAAATCTGTGACACTGAAACACGTCGTGCCAGCCAAACAATTCTAGAGTCTGTCATTGTTACGTCGCCCACATTCTGTACCTCTTCGCCCAAATTCACGAGTTCTTTCTTCGCCGCTTTATTTGTTTTGCGTCGAAGAAAAACGACAAATCCGGCCTACGTGCGGTATGAGACCGCCGACCAATGGTTGATTGCCGTGCCAACGGCAGGTCGACGCGCATTCTGATCTTCGACCTACAATGACGTGCAGCAAACACGCAAGCAGACCAAGGAGACAACACCGACCGCAGAGTAATGTGGTGCAGACGATAACCACGATGAGGCCATCTTGAACAATGCGACCTTGGTGTTGGGATCAACCCCTCGGAAATCGGTGAGGCATGATTTCCCTTTCCTTAGAATGAGAAGACACCTTTCGTTCCACCTCGCCGTGCCATCCACGTCTTCGCTCTCCCGTATCTTGCCCTTTTTTTCGGTCCTTCCCTCACTTCTTCCGTTGTTCCTCGCGACGAGAAAAGTGCAGACGGTTTAGGGATCATCGGTATTTCGTGCGGCGGAATGCTATGGCTGTGTCTAGGGTATCGGTCGATGACGCAATATCTGGGGGGTTGAGAGAAAGAATGGTGGTTTTCCTGGATGATCTCCAGAAGGTCAATGAAGCCGCGCTGCTAATAGAAAATATTCGGATTCGACTTTCATGAGTTGGACCTACTTCACGGAGGAAGAGAAGGAAAAGCTTTTGGTTTCTTACGGTTAGAGGAAAGACGTTGAAAGAAGCCCTCTTTGCAACGGGGAAGTATGCTCTTCTCATCACCTCAAGCCAATATACGAGAGATTCGTCGGTTTTAGGAAATCCGACATGAATCAAGAAATAAAGTGCAACGTGCTAGAGAAACGTCGTGCGTGATGTTTCCACACAATCGCAGACCTGAGAGAGTCTATTCTCAAGAACCTCTAGAAGGTGAAATCGAGGAACACGAAGCGGTCATCTCGCTGATTGAATACATTGAATGCGCAAAAATCACCGGATTTCCGGTCTTCTTGTGCCGCGAAAAGGCCCGACTCGCAGTGAATTGCTGAAGAATCCAAGACCAGATTTCATTGAAAACATGGAAGGTTTCAATGGATGATGGATATTTTATGTAGGGGTTGGCTGTGGTCGATCGGAGCGATTCGATCGTTCGATTGATAGATCTGGTAGACGTGCTGTGGTAGAATTACGCGGGGATGATCCAGAGCGTTATCACTGGTCTTCTGGTTGTCCACAATGCGGTAAGCTGAAGTGTACTATATACGGCGGGGGGGGGGGGGGGGGGG